TTTCTTTTCTAGTGCAATATGGGTCATAGAGAGGATTGCAGTTACCACTCTTGCTTCAGCCCTTCTTTCTTTTTCCACCTTTTCTTTCAAAGCATACAACTATGAAGAAATGCTAACAGAATATTGGGATGTGATATATTTAAGTGGAAAGGAATGAGTGCAGATGTTTGCAACTTATTGTTGTGTGCCTTCAAGTCATTTCTGACTTATGGTGACTCTAAAGTGAACCTAGCACAGAGTTTTCTTGGCAAGATTTGTTTAGAGATTTCGCCTTTTCCTTCCTCTGAAGCTGAGATAGTGCTACATGCCCAAGGGCACCCAGTGGGTTTCCATGGCCAAGCAAGAATTCAAACCCCATTATTCAGAGCAATAGTAATAGCAACTTCATTTATATACCACTTCATACTGCACTAAGCAGTCTCTAAGCAGTTTACAACTGTAAGCTAATTGCCCCCAACAAGCTGGGTATTCATTTTAGCGACCCTGGAAGGATGCAAGTCGACCCTGAGCCCCTGCTGGGACTGAACTCACAACCTTGTGATTTGTAAGTGAGTCGCTGCAGTACTGGCATTTAACCCATGCACCACAAGTGTTGTAGTCCAACACTTAAACCACTACAGCACACTGCTTCTAATGGTTTGGAAATCCACAACATGTAACTTTTTTGAGAGAGGACATTCTACATTTTTTTTCCCTGAAAGCTAGAAACTTTTCACTTGTTTCCCTAAAATGACAGCATAACCATCAGTTTAACTATTCATCATTTATCATAATAAATAAAACAACATACCTTAATTCAATTTCCTACTGGCGAAACTGAGGAGTTTGAAATATGAATATGAATATTTTAGAAAAAATAAACAATCCTCTAAATATCCTGGCAAATGAGATAATGCAGTTTCTTTTCCTTCTAAAACATTACATCTTCATCTTACTTTGAAAATTCTTGGCCTAATTTCTCTTCTTTTTCAAAGCACCAAAAATGGATTTTAGGGATAGAAAAAAATAATCTAAACAACCAGGTTGCTACTAGTGCTACTAATTAATAACATTCCATGTTTTCTCTTTAAATAATCCTCTGTGACAAAGAAAATGCTGTATGAATTAGTGAAGAAACATAGGATTACAACAGGAAAGTGATGATCTGGAGATACATCCTATGTCTCTATTTGCAGAGCATCTGTGATTGTAAAAACCTTATATGTGAAGCACCCTCAGCTAGGTAGGTAAGGTAAGCAAATTTGTTATCTTACTCAAAATTTACAGTTTTAATATAAGGATAATTTAATCAGGGGTAGAGCTACAGGGGAAGGTATAATGAGTACATTGCCCCAAAACAAGAATTCTGTCCCACCAAATAAAATTTTCCTTCAGTCCCAAATTTCTAGCAATGCAGAGAATGAGGGGGTGAAGCAGATGGGCCAAAAGGCTGCTCTGGTCCCAAAGACTCCAGGACAACTGGACAGCCCGCTAACAAAGCAGGCTGCTATGGCAGTCCCGAATGGGCCGCCGGCTGATTTAAAATCGGCTCCTTTTGCTGGCGGCTTTGGGCTGCCTTCGCTGGTCTCAGAGCTGCTTCCAGCCACTTCAAGGGCATGCGTCATATAAATGCCACACCCCCAAAGCATCCAGTACTCTTTTGGGGCCATCTGTTTCAGGCCTGAGGTTAATTCCTAGGTCGGTAAGGGGACAGGTGGTTGTTTGTTATCTTATTCAAAATTTACAGTTAACTATTTTAACATAAGGATAATTTAACCACACTGATCCAGTACCCAGGACCTGCAGCTCCTTACCTTCCCAGCA